GGGGGATTGGTGTGGCTGAAATATTCATGACATGGAATGGCCTAGTCAACCAAACTTAAACTTTGATTATTTAGGTGTTATCTGGAAATGGTGTTTTTGATGGTTCAGAGGTTCATGAAGCTTCAGCGTAAGTACAGGCACATTGATGGTAATGACTATTTCCCATTAGTGGTAAAGAAAATACTGAAAATTTGTAAGCCTTGCATTGCTTGTTTTGCACTATTGACTAAGTTTGGCAATTTCAATATACCACTGCATGGTTAAAGCTAAATTAGAGCGGCATGCAATGCAAAGGAGGTGGTGTCTAATAGCTGCGGCAAGTGAATTCTGTTTTTAACTGGCCTGATGGGTAAGTCAAGTTTTTTGGGAAATTCAAATTAAAGAAGGATAGTAATCAATGCTCATTAAAATTTTTTCAGGCTAATTCAAATGACTTTTGGGTCAGCAGTTAATAAAACAGAATGAGCAAAATTTAATGCCGAATGATATACTCTAAAATAAATAAAAATTTAAGAGTTTCCATCAATTGCAGACATGATACCTATAAGTTTAGGTACAAATGATTCTTTGTTTAAGATTTTTTACAATACACTATTATTCTCTTCTCTACAATTATCTGCTCGTAGAGACCCGTTTCAGTCCCTGAAGTATATATCTCAGAAGTCAGATGTTTGGAAAAACCAAGATCCATAATTCTAATGTTTGGAAAAGCCAAAATTGAGAATTCCAATGTTTGGAAAAGCCAAAACTCTGAATTCCAATGTCTGGAAAATCAAAATCCAGAATTCCAATTATGTTGGAAAAAGCCAAAATAAAGAATTCCAATGTTTGGGAAAGCTAAAATACAGAATTCTAAGGTTTGGAAAGGCGAAAATACAGAATTTAAATGTTTGGAAGTTCCAAAATACAGCATTCCAATGTTTGGAAATGCCAAAATACAGAATTCCAATGTTTGGAAAAGCCAAAATACTGAATTCCATTGTTTGGAAATGCGAAAATACCGAATTTCAATGTTTGGAAAAGGGAAAATACCGAATTTAACAGCAGTTTAAAGACGATTGTGAGCCTGGTTTTAGCTACTGAACACTTGAAACTGTAACTGGTGTCATAAAAGTGACGTCATTATAGTGACCTCTCTTATACAGACACCTGTCTAATACAGACACTTCGCTCTGTGTCTTCGGTGTCTGTATTAGAGAGGTTCGACTGTACAGAATTCCATGTTTGGAAAAGCCAAAATACAGAATTTTGAGTCTCTTGAATACCCGTAGGAATTCAAGCTATGATCGTCAAAGGAAAAAACTAGATGGGCACTGATCCAAATTGTCTAAGGCCTAGGCCTAACGTAGAACTTTTCATGAGACGAACTAAACTCTAATTTGGGTCAGACCTCGAACTAGGACTCGTCGAACCAATCAACTGAATCAGACCAAAGAGTAATTTCAATAAATTTTCTCCCGAACGAAGCGTAATATATGTTATCGTACAAATTGTTAATTTATTAGTTCAGTTCGTCGCATGTGAAGATCTACGTTTGTCCCGTAGACGATCTTCAGACGTTCTATCTGTCTTAGCAGACGGATGAGGAGGAAGAACGAATGGGCTATTGACTCAGGTGCCACAAGTAAAATAAAATCCAGCTAGTAAAGTAAAATCCAACTAGTTGGTCAAAAATATTGAGACAAAACAACTTTAGCTAGTTACAGCTAGACTTTAATCCTTTTTTGCTGCCAAAAAGCCGGCTCTTTTCGCTACTAGTGGGCCATAACATATAGCCTAGTAGTAGCTCAACCAATCAAAACGCAGCATTATTAATAGACCACTAGTTGGATTTTACTAAAGACGGATAGCTTCGTCCAGGACGTCAACGGATAGCCTCGTTTGAGAGAAAATTCACCCAACAGACGATCTTAACTTAATTTAGGTTGACCCAAATTAGAGTTTGGTTTGTCTCATGAAAAGTTCGACTTTTGTCCTAGGCCCTAATGGGGAGTCTCCAGCACGGAATACGAGGCAACGGGTGTCTGGTCTTGTCTCAAGTTTTTATATAACCACCATTGATTTACCCATAGTCTCCATTGGAGAGACTATGATTTATCAATGTGAATATGATTATGTCAAAATAATGTAATATCAGTATTTATTATATTAAAATAAAGTCACAGAATGACTCGCTTTAATAATTGTGTATGTTTTTTTTAGGGTACTGGTACATTTGAGTCGTGCTGGAGCCGATGTGAGTATTTATGCCCCAGATGTTCCACAGATGCACGTTCTGAATCATGCTAAAGGAGACGTTGCTGAGGGTGAGACACGGTAAGAAATCACCTGATAACCCAGAAATCACCATAACCCAGAGAGAGCAACTCCCATACTAGGCCTATGTCACGGCGTTTTTATGGACCAGTTTATTTTTTGACACATTTTAGGGCAGTTTTTCCCATGAAAATAGAATCTCCACCATGTCTATGAGTGCATTCGAAGAATAAGATATCAAAAAGGAAAACTAAAGGTTATTAAAAGGCAAAAAAATATCATTTTTGGGGTCTGTAAGTTTTGCTCACTGGTTTGTGGAATTTAAAAGGTATTCAAAATTCCCGCCTAAACCATTCTAAAAATAAACTGGTCCGTGAATACACCGTGACACGAATGCATGGAAGTTGCTCGCTCTGGCTTATGGGCTCTTGGTAGTGTTTTGAAATGGATAATTTTTCGATAAGTGGTCACGTAGGGGGATGTAAGGGGTTCGGATTACACAATTTAGATAACCGTGTGCACAAATTTTTGCGGGTTGTAATTTCTGCGAATTTTGCATTTCTTCTAGCCATCCACAAAAATATGTTCCCGCCAAAAAAATATTGGCGCAAACATTTTTCCCGCAAACATTTACTCCGTAGTAAATATTCTCTATCTTGAATTTGCCACACTAAAATGCATTGCTAAGAAATCGTGGCTGTTTGTATTTGTAATCGAATGACAAAGAAAAGTTATCTGTTTTATACTGGTAATACTTAGGGAACTCACACCGTATTATTGCTTGAAAATATTATTTCCATTGCACGAACTCAATAAAAACGAAAGTATTATCGATGATTTGTTTGTCCAAGACTTTCTGGAAATTGCAAAAATTAATTCCCAGCAAAAAAGACCACTCTGTCCTAATCGCAGAAATTAGACCCTCAAAACAAAACAAAAACCGCCAATCCACGAAAGTAAACTCTCATAAAAAAATTTGTGCCACATGATAGTCCTCCTAGTATATATTTTACAATTTTTTTTGAAATCACATGAACTGCATTAATTCAGTGTTATTTAACACCGTATAGAATTTCTATACTCAATGTCACATTAATTTCCTGTTAGGAATGTTTTGGCCGAGTCTGCTCGAATTGCTCGTGGGAAGATCTCTTCTCTGGCTGAGCTTGATGCAACACATCATGATGCCCTTGTTTTTCCTGGAGGCTTTGGAGCGGCAAAGAATTTGTGAGTGACAGTTAAAGGGCCTACATCACTAGGATATTGCTGTTTTAACCCTTTCACTGTATGCCAAAAGTGGCTAAAGTCAAATTTCGACAAAATTTCCAATTTTACTTTTGCAAAA